ACTAAGCATTTCTGATTATCAGCTTTGTGGTGGCCCCTGTTTGTCCAAATCATATTTCCCTAACCCTTACCACTTTCCTCCTATGATCCTAGTTTCTTAGAACTGATGCTTCTAGCTTGTCAAGCTTCAAACATTGGGATCTTTCAGGTGTGTCTTCCCAGTGCTCTTAAAATGAAATCCAAGATCCGTATGACTTACATGGCCCTACATGATTTGACCCCAGCTTGCTTCTCCCTCCTGCCCCTTGGGCTCCAGCCACACGACCCTCTTCCACTCTTCCATTCTTCTTGCTTCTGGTCCTCACACAGGCTGCACTTATCCTGGAATACTTTTTCCCACCCACTCTGAAAACACTCCCTCATCCTTAATTTGTAGACACTTGATGTTTTTGTCTGTGCCTTAAGGACTTACAGGCCAGCTCCAGGCTCAACCAAGCAATATCACAACTTCAAGTCAGGTCAATGAAAGCCCATTCTGGGGCTGGGGAAGTACTGGGAAAGAGCAGTACACTTCTGGAGATGCAGTGGTACAGCTGGAGCCGTGAAGGGAAGGAGTTTTCTGTTACTTCAGGCTTTGAGCCCTGGCTAATATGCCTCAGCCCTCAGATTGTTGTTTTATCAGGGTTTACCTACCTTCCTTGTTTAAAAGTGGTCTTCCCTCTTAGTTCTTTCTCAGCACCTTAGTCTCATCCTTCATAGTATTTGGTAGAATTTAATTCTATTTAATATTTGGGTATACATTTATTTAATATTTATCTCCCCTACTGGACCACAAAAGCTCAATGAGGGCAAGGACCTTGTTTGCTTACTTTGTCCATTACCCGGGCACCTAGCAGTTTGAAAGGTTTACTGTGTGAATTAGTGATTACATCAGAGTTGAGATCTTACAATGCCAGGCATGGTTCTAAATGCTATACATTTATTAATGTGTGGCATTAACTCTTTGAGGTAGGTACCCAATTTTTCAAATGAGAAAATTGAGGCTTTAATGATTGACTGTCCATGTCCCATTTCCTATCCCAAGTCTTGTTGGTTGCCAAGCCCTACGAGAGACCTTTTAACATCTCTCTACCACTATCCTGATTGTCACCTAGATTATTACAATACTTTGGAATTATCTGATCCTCCTCTTTATCTGGAACTCCTGCCAAAGGTCAATAGGTAAGTGCTCCACTGATTGTGAGTTCATCACTTCCTCTTTTGTTCATGCTGTGCCCTTTATTTGGAGTGCAGATCCCACTCCACTTCTAGGAGTTGAACAAGTTTAAATGCCATCTGTAGAAAACTTTCATTATCCTACCACAGTCTCTTCAGTAGTTCTTTCTCGTGACATTTTTGTCCACTTTTTTTTTTTTTACACTGAGTCAGAAAATTAAGTTACAAAACTTTTTTTTTTTTTTTTTTTTTTTTTTTTTACAGAATCAGTATAAAATAGCAGTTGATTTCTCCATAATTATCAGAATTATTTATATTTGAGGTCTGGGCTAAGTGGGGCTGAAATCAACAAAAGGTCTTGGACTGTTGGCTCAGAAATCATCCTAGGAAGCCCACCCTGTTGATACCTGTCATGCTTAGCTCGTATGAGATGACCCCATCTTTAAAAAAAAAAAAAAAAAGTATCTCTCTCTATTCATTCTTTGGAGGCTTGAAGTGAATTCGGCAGCGTTCATTAAACACCTTCCAGCTCCTGTCATTTACCACTTCAACATTCAGTTCTGACTGCATCCATTTCAACTTTGCTATTTTCTAGGTTGCGTTAATAACGTTAAATCATCCAAATTCTTTTCTCTCTCTTCTCGGAGGTTTTTTACTACTTCTCATGTCTGGGCTATATACAATTTTTTGACTCTCTCTACCGGCATGAGCTGCCATCAAAGACTCATAAAGTTGTTTACAGGTTTGGCTGGCATCAATTTTCCCTGCAAAGGAAGCTGTTGGAACCGTAGTGTTTTAATTCATGTACTATTCTGTCATCAATTGTCTTCATCACCTTGAGTAATTCCTGCCACATGAGGAAAAACCCCATCACCTGGAACTCAGCGAACTCTTCACAGTTCACACTGCCACAGGGTGCCGCCATATTGGACCTTTTTTTTTTTTTTTTTTTTTTTGAGAGAGTTTCGCTCTTGTTGCCCAGGCAGGAGCGCAATGGTGCAATGTCGGCTCACCACAACCTCCACCTCCTGGGTTCAAATGATTCTCCTGCCTCAACCTCCCGAGTAGCTGAGATTACAGGCATGCGCCACCATGCTCAGCTAATTTTGTTTTTAGTAGAGACGGGGTTTCTCCATGTTGATCAGGCTGGTCTCGAACAACTGACCTCAGGTGATCCACTCACCTCAACCTCCCAAAGTGCTGGGATTACAGGTGTGAGCCACCACACCCGGCTTTCTACCTTTTATCAATATTTACATCCCTTCCTCCTTACTAGACTGTAAGATTTTCAGGAAGGATCTGCATCTGTGTTAAACTGATCTTTGTATTGCCAGGTTCATAGCACCTGGTATATAAAATAGGAACTCATCTAAAATTTTCAAGATTTTTTTTTTAAGACGGAGTCTTGCTCTGTCACTAGGCTGAAGTGCAGTGGCACCATCTTGGCTCACTGCAACCTCCACCTCCCGGGGTCAAGCAGTTCTGCCTCAGCCTCCCAAGTAGCTGGGATTACAGGCACATACTACCATGCCTAATTTTTGTGTTTTTAGTGGAGAAGGGGTTTCGCCATGTTGGCCAGGATGGTCTTGATCTCCTGACCTCATGATCTGCCCACCTTGGCCTCTCAAAGTGCTGGGATTACAGGCATGAGCCACTGTGCCCGGCCAAATTTTCAAGATTTTGAATATCCTTCAGTTTCACTTCATTCTTATATTGCTCTAATTTCATCAAATTCCATTATTACTATTATTATTGAGACAGCATGTCATCACCCAGGCTGGAGTGTAGTGCTGTCATCTCAGCTCACAGCAACCTCAGTTCAAGTGATTCTTCTACCTCAAGTCTCGCCAGTAGCTGGGATTACAGGCATGCGCCACCACATTTGTTTTTAGTAAGAGACAGGATTTCACTGTGGTGATCTGGCTGGTCTTGAATTCCTGACCCCGGGTGATCTGCCCACCTCGGCCTCCCAAAATGCTGAGATTATAGGTGTGTGTCACCACACCCAGCCAAGCCCTGTTACATTTTCTTATGAGTTGGTTGGTAACTGGGTTGACATACTAGCGTGGGTAGGGCAGGAAATTCTAAACAGCTGAAGGAACAAAGTGGAGCTGCTAGAAATGCTTTTTCTCCTTTTAAAATAGCTTATCTTTACTGAACATTCACTGCCCACCAGGCTCTCCCCTAATTTCACTGACTCCTCCCAAGTTTTATGAGGCAGGGATATCAGTACAACATCTTCCTATAAAAAAGTCTGTGTAACATTCCAAGGCTAAGGACTTTTGCTTATTACAACTACTTTTTAGTATTAAAATTTTTTTTTTTTTTTTTGAGATGGAGTCATGCTCTGTTGCCCAGGCTGGAGTGCAATGGTGCGATCTCACTGCACTCTTTCCCTCCTGGGTTCAAGCGATTCTCCCGCCTCAGCCTCCCAGTAGCTGGGATTACAGGTGTGTAACACCACACCCAGCTAATTTTTGTATTTTTAGTAGAGCCGAGGTTTCACCATATTGGCCAGGCTGGTCTCGGAACACCTGACCTCCTGATCCACCCACCTCAGCCTCCCAAAGTGCTGGGATTACAGGCGTGAGCCACCACGCCCAGCCTTAAAATTACTTTTATGTTTAGCTTATTTCTCCTAAGGATTTCTTAAGGGGAGAATCCATGATTTTGTCCTCACAGAACAGTTGCCTAGTCATGATTAATCCTAACAGAATAAACATAACTGCCTTCAAGCTTGGGCCATTGCAGACTCCAGGAAATTAGTTATTTGCAACAGCAACCTGCCAAAACAGGCAGACATCTGGCTGCTCTTATCACATTCAGAGTGGAAACTAGGACCTTGTCATTCTTTTGAGAGAGGCATTTTGGGTTTGTATAAAAACTGAATAAAGGAGGTCTACTTACTCTAGGCAAAAGTTGCTAATTGTAGGGGACAGCATCACTACAATAGTGTCAGTGTAGTATGGATGGAAGCCAGACTGTAATAAACTGATGGTAAGAAACTGAGTATGAAAGAACATTATTTCTGGAACTGTTTCAACTAATCCTCTATTTTTGGCTACCTAGGTCCAATGCTCCACTTTTGAGCTGTTATTTAAAGTAGCCCCACAATCTGGGTCTGATTTTCACTTCTAAATGGAAGCCATAGTCACTGTGTCTCAGTTGCAGTTACATGAGATAATGCTGGTCGAGTCGTTCCTAAGCATAATACCAATGTTCCTTACTCATGAGGTCATGTCTGGATAAACGATTCAGGAGTTGAAAATATCCTAAGTAGGCCGGGCACAGTGGCTCACACTTGTAATCCCAGCACTTTGGGAGGTCAAGGTGGGCAATCACCTGAGGTCAGGAGTTCGAGACCAGCCTGACAAATATGATGAAACCCTGTCTCTACTAAAAATACAAATTAGCCAGGCATGTGGCATGTACCTATAATCCCAGCTACTGGGAAGGCTGAGACAGGATAATCACTTGAACCTGGGAGGCGGAGGTTGCGTGAGCTGAGTTTGCACCACTGCACTCCAGCCTGGGATACAAGAGCAAAACTCAAAAAAAAAAAAAAAAAAAAATCCTAAGTCAAAACACACTACTTATGTTCAGTTCACAGTGGGTTTATTGGGACATAGCCCATAATATTCTGAGGACCGTCTGTGAATGGCTTATCACGTACCCACCACCGCAAAGCTGAAAAATCTAAAGTTGAACTATCATAAGTTGTAGACCATCTGTATTTGGCACAAGTAAACACTTCAATCATAGTTATGAGCCTGATTTAGAATGTTGCCTTCTCAGTTTCACAAAAAAGTTTGAAACCTGTGTTTAATTGAACAAGAAAGAGGTTTATCAAGTTCAGCTCTTTATTATCAGTTAAATTTTAGAGAATTTTAAACCTAGCCTAATAGTTTTATGTTTCTTTCTACCCCCATTCATACCCGCCCGTCACATGCATAAAACTGATACCTAAAACATTACCTGAGTCAGTGATCAGCTGGGCACAACTGTCCCAGCTTTTGTACACCGTGAAAAACTAAAAAGACATTATAGGCAATGTTATGTACTATAACTCACATATTCCAAAGGGAAAATGTCAATTCCAAAAGACTTATGAGCAAATGAGGCAACCAGGGCAGACACTAAAGCACTGAGCAAGAGGCTGTCACGATGACTATTTATTTTATATTTGGGGAAACAGCTGTTATTACTCAAAGTCACAGTTACTTACCAAACCCAGAGGTAAACCAGGACCAAGTACAAGTCTTTTGATTCTTAACATTATATTCAATAAATTCACTAGGCATTCTCTAACTGTACTTTTGATGGAATATTGAAATCTTCAAAGGAAAAATTCCATGTTGGAACCAAGCAAAGGGTAGAATTTCACAAACCAGCCCAACCACTCGGGCTTTATTTAGTTCCTACCCTCATCTGCATAGTAAATCACAGGGTTTTTTTCTCCCCACGAATAGGAAGTTAATCATGGCTATTCTCCAAAAAGCTAGGTTTAAATTAACTATAAAGTTAATAAGGCTTTATAGTTAATAAGGCTCCAGTCTATCTAATCTGAATGAATAAACCACCTAAAGGTTTGGGGTAAATCTCAGCACAGAAGAGGCACCAGATAGGCTCCAGGCTGGTCTCTGCCACTGCTGACCAACAGCGACACCAACTCCACAGAATCATTAGATTTTAAATGGCTGTTTTTGTATGTACCAGATAAAACTAGTCCAATTTTATTAAATTTTGGGATATACATTTTTAATTTGCTACTGTAACAAAGGGAATTAGACAATACACTCTGTCATATTGTTCATAAACTTCACAACGAGACTGTAACAGTGCCATGGAAGAGAAGAGTTCCGGTTTTAATCCCACTTTACAGCTAATAACCAGTATTTATGGTTTCTCATCTGTCAGGCACTATTCTAAGCTCTTTTAAAATATTCAGTCTTCACAGTCCTATAGGCCATTATCTCCATTTTACAAAATAAAGATTCAAGTAAATTATCCAAGGTTACAGAGCCACTGCTGCAATCAGGATTTAAATGTTTCTATGCACTGGTCTTAATCACTGCCTCTCAAATCAGATGCAGGCCAGTACCCAGCACCTAGGAGGATGTGTGAATACCTGCTATTCACTCAACCTGACCTTGTCTTTAGTGCTTCTCTGTCAGTCTTAAAATTCCTCCTGTACCCCTGCCTCCATCTGCAGATCTTCAAAGTAAACCTTTCCACTTTTACCATAAGTCCAAATCCTTGTTTCCTCTGAACTGGTTCCAGCCTTTAAAATGCCCTATTCCCCACATGTTAAAAATATAAGGAGCCCTCACTGTGGTACCTGTTAGCCTTTTATGTCATGGTACCCTAATCAAGGCAGGCCAATCACCTCCAACACAGCTGCTCCAACTTGCCTCAGCTTATACTTACTATTCCAAACTGCCTCTGCTGCCACTTGAGCTCACTCTCGCACACCCTTTCCAACTGCATACAGCAGTCTACACCACAAACTCATGTTTGATTTCATACAATCTCGTTGCTTTCTTGTTCTGCCCGCTGGGGGCTTAACCATACTACTTAGTATAAACCCTGCTCCCAGGCCTCCATTAACTTGCACACTCAAGCTGATTACATACATATATTTAACAGTACAGTTTTACACAGAATGCTAAGAGCACTTTTCTTCATATTTTACAGAAGGGCTTGAAACATACGGACTTTCTATTAGTAACCATACGATAGCACATCCAAATCTAATTCCTAAATAGATGATGCATGATAATTTGTTTGGAATTTAAAGGCTTAATGGCAATAATCAGGGGAGGAAAAGTTTATTTTACACAACTGACCGAAAAATAAATTCAAGAAATAGTGAATAGAATTTAATATGGTCTCATGCGCCCTGAAGGAGGGGGTGCCCGATTTGGAGGGGTAATTGCTATGTCCAAGTAATCTCCTATCTGGAACTTCTGTGACTGCAGCGTCATGGAATCATCAGTCCCCTTTCTGCCAGACATGGTGCTGCCAATCTCCTTAACTCTGCAAGAAGGAAAATCAACTGTTAATGGATCAAAATCAATGAAACCCAATATGTACTACAAATGAATATGGGACTGGATTTGCTCCATCATTTTATAACGCCGTTCCAAAATTTAAGTACTTTATTCAGCCAAACCAGGTATTAATATAAACCCATATTCTCCCCACTAAGATTCATTAAAGGGGTTATCTCTATCAGTTAAAATATACTAAAAACAAAGATTACAGGAATTAAAATGAGACGTTACCTACCGATAGCCAGGTCTTTTAACATCTGTAAAAACAATTGCAAAATTGAAGTGAGTGCCCTTCTTTCTAGCTTCTGGGTAGACTTCTTTTACTAAGCTTGTCAGTTCTTTCAAGGTTGCATCCATCCTGGATTTTTTTTTAAAAAAGAAATTTACATTTGCTTCATCAGCAATAATATGCAAAGGATTTTGACGATGAGTTAATTACATATATCTGAGTTGTGACTTACATTAGAAACTGCCTCTTATACTAGTTTAATTTCAAAGCAGCTAAAAATACTATTTGCCTCCTAAAACTCCCAGTACCAGCCTAACTGTTGGGAATTTCAATTAAAGTTATGTTCTTAGTGCCAAATGGGACTTCAGAGAATCCAAATGCTCTCTTCTGTTGCTATGCAACACCTTATGGCCTAGTGATTTACCTAAGGGTAACTAGTCCAAATAAATCCAAATAAGCAAAACAGATGTATTCCATTACTTCTAAGACATGTACTCTTCCACATTTTAGCCATCTTTGAAATCAGACTGTGAAATCTTACAATTAATGTGCTAGGAAAGCATTTTCATACAGCTTTTTGCTGTTTTGTTGTTGTTTTGAGAACGAGTCACGCTCTGTTGCTCAGGCTGGAGATATCGGCTCACTGCAACCTCCACCTTTCAGGTTCAAGTGATTCTCCTGCCTCAGCCTCTCAAGTAGCTGGGATTACAGGTGCCCGCCAACACATCCAGTTGATTTTTGTATTTTTAGTAGAGACGGGGTTTCATCATGTTGGCCAGGCTGGTCTCAAAGTGATCTACTCACCTTGGCCTCCCAAAGATTACAGGCCTCAATGACCTCACCCAGCCAGATGTGTTTCTTCTTTCTTAGACAGGATATTAAGATAAGTTTTACGCCGGGCGCGGTGGCTCACGCCTGTAATCCCAGCACTTTGGGAGGCCGAGGCGGGTGGATCACGAGGTCAAGAGATCGAGACCATCCTGGTCAACATGGTGAAACCCCGTCTCTACTAAAAATACAAAAAATCAGCTGGGCATGGTGGTGCATGCCTGTAATCCCAGCTACTCAGGAGGCTGAGACAGGAGAATTGCCTGAACCCAGGAGGCAGAGGTTGCGGTGAGCTGAGATCGCACCATCGCACTCCAGCCTGGGCAACAAGAGCGAAACTCCGTCTCAAAAAAAAAAAAAAAAAAAAAAAGTCCTACAACCAATGAAATACACAAAATTTTCTTAGGATGAAGCATAGGCTCGTCACAATAAAGTTTCTTACCCTACAAACTGATTTGAATGCAACTTTAATATAGTCCCCTGAGCTAATATGGCACAATCTGAAAAAACACTTTAAAATCTAAGTACCTTAGAAATAATAACCTACTATACATTTTTTTTTGCCAGGTGCGGCAGCTCACACCTGTAATCCCAGCACTTTGGGAGGCCGAGGTGGGCGGATCACCTGAGGTCGGGAGTTCGAGACCAGCCTGATCAACATGAAGAAACGCCGTCTCCACTAAAAATACAAAAAATTAGCTGGGTGCAATGGCACATGCCTGTAATCCCAGCTACCTGGGAGGCTGAGGCAGGAGAATCGTTTGAACCCAGGAGGTAGAGGTTGTGGTGAGCTGAGATCATGCTATTGCACTCCAGCCTGGGCAACGAGCTAAACTCTATCTCAAAAAAGAAAAGAAATAACCTAATATATATTTTTATATTGTTTTCTTACATGACAAACCAGGAAAATGCAGTGGTTTGGAACTTGAAACAACACCGTAGAGTGCTATTAAATGGTACAGGGATACTAGGCCCTAGTGAAGAATGAAACTAAGAATGCACAGCATCAAGAAGGAACACACAACAGTGCATTTACTTTTAGCTTTGTGCTATTTACAAAATGCCACCACACCACACTCAAAGTAAACCAAGGGCTTCAACTATACTCCGAGTAAAAATATCCAGGATGACTACTTCATCTTCGATTTCTACTGCTACAAATCTTTCTCTATATCCCCTAACAGAACTTGACAGACTTCTGAAAACATGCCCCTTCCCCTCATACTCCTACCAAAAATGTCACCCACTTAGCTGCCCAGGTCACAATACCAAGCATCTTCAATTCTTCCCATCTTCATCCTGTTACACAGTCTTACTGTTTCTACCTCCTAAATACAGATCAAACAGGTTTTCTTCCCTCATCCCCACCATCACTGCTTTATTTCAACCTCTCATTATTTAACTCTCAGTATGCTACCTTCAGCCCCTCTCAGTTTTTAAGCTCTGTTTTTGTATAAAATGGTGTCAGGCAGGTGACACCTGTTACTATACTACCTCTAGGGGAGTCCCATTGCGTGGAAGACAACAAAGAACATAATGTCTATCACCAGGAGAAGCAGTCCCAAGATGTAAAGCTTTGCAGTTGTTAGTCACGAAGAATGACATAATCTACTCTGGCACTGGCAGGACAATGCTTTGCTAACACAGAGAATAGACAAGAGTTAAAATCACCTTCAATAGTGTCAGTCCCCCAGGGCTAGCAGGTCACAGCCAACACAGGGAGATGGTCTACATGCACCCCGCATGCTGCAGGCAAAGGACCCCCATTCCCTCCTCACTGGGAACAGATTCAGCAATAGGGTTCCCAGGTGCCATATAACATACATGCTTATGCAAAACAAAGGAGTACACATCGAGCCCAGGGCAGGAAAGGATACTCCCAGAGATCTGCCCAACACAAGCTGTGAGGACTCATTATCTCTTTGCAAGGCAGTATTTCATACTAAAGGCCACTCTATATACCATGAGTGCTGCACATGACTGCCTTCCTTAACTTGATACATAAGAGGGAAAAGCCATATGCAATAATGCAATAAATTAGTTCCCAAATCTCACCAACCAGAAATAACCAGTGATATTAATATTACTGTGGGCAACTTTTTGTTTAATGCAATACACTACTACAAAAAAAATTTCCTTAAGACATCAAGCATATTATACATGCTGAGACTCATACAAAATATAATTCATGCTGTAAGTACCGTACATATTTTATTTTTATTTTTTTTGAGACGGAGTTTCACTCTTGTTACCCAGGCTGGAGTGCAATGGCGTGATCTTGGCTCACTGCAACCTTCGCCTCCTGGGTTCAGGCAATTCTGCCTCAACCTCCTGGGTAGCTGGGATCACAGGCACGCGCCACCATGCCCAGCTAATTTTTTGTATTTTTAGTAGAGACGGGGTTTCACCATGTTGACCAGGATGGTCTTGATCTCTTGACCTCGTGATCCACCCGCCTCGGCCTCCCAAAGTGCTGGGATTACAGGCTTGAGCCACCGCGCCCGGCATGTACATATTTTAATAAAAATTATCTTTTATTTTGGGAAGAGAAAATTCACAGTAAAAGAATCATAAAACTTCACAGATAAAGACACCCATCGTTACCGTTCCTCCATTTTGTGTCTTATTTTACCTTTGTCAGAGTTAATATTCTGTTCTGCAACAGTAATTCCCCTGGTTGTTTTAACTTTGTCCCCAGTGAACTCCAATGTTGGCAAAAACCTGGGGTCAGGCCGGGCAGGGTGGCTCATGCCTGTAATCCCTGCACTTTGGAAGGCCATGGAAGGGGGATCACCTAAGGTCAGGAGTTCAAGACCAGCCTGGCCAACATGGTGAAACCTGTCTCGACTAAGAATTTAAAAAAATAGCTGGGCGTGGTAGCACACACCTGTAGCCTATAATCCCAGCTACTCCAGGAGGGTGCACTCCACTCCAGCCTGGGTGACAGAGTGAGACTCTGTCTCAAAAACAAAATAAAAAAACCCCTGAGGTCACACTGGTTTATCTGACTAGGGGACTTTTTTTTTTTCCCTGATATTCTGCTGTTAATTATTCTTTATCTATTACAGGTTGAGTATCCCTTACCCAAAATGCACAGGACTAGAACTGTTTTGGATGTTTTCAGATTTTAGAATTTTTGCATATACGTAAGATATTTTAGGGTTGCGACCCAAGTTTAAATGAGAAACTCATTTACGTTTCAAACACACCTTATACACATAGCTAGAACATAATTTTATACATTATTTTAAGGTAATTTTGTGCATGAAAGGAAGTTTGTGTCAAGAACTTATGTGTGCAATTTTCCACCAGTGTCATGTCAGCTCTCAAAACATTTCAGGTTCTGCAGCATTTCAGATTATGGACTTGTGATGCTCAATCTATATTCTGATACACAGCATACATTTACGATGATTATATACCAGAAAGAATTTTTCCTTTCTAAAAACATTTTCAATATTGTCTTGGTCATAATGAATTTGGGGGATTTCACACCTTTTATCAGTTCTGACAGTGTGAAACCTACACAAGCTTCCCACCTTCTAAGAGACTGTCCTTCCAGACCAACAATTGGAGTGCTCACCACTAGTCAGAAGCCTGAAGACACAGGTAGGGTTCAGTACTTGTGTCAGCTTGATGAAGCTACAGTCCCTAGATATTCAACCAAACACGAATCTAGGTATTGCTGTGAGATATTTTGTAGATGTCATTAAAGTCTACAACTAGTTGACCTTAAATTCAGGGGTCTGTCCTATATCTTCTGGGTAGGCCCTAAGAGCAGCCTTTCCTTTCCGAGAACCTGCCCTACAGATTTGACAATTAAGTGCCTAGACACCCCTACAATCGTGTAAGCCGATTCTTTGCAATAAATCTCTCTCTCTCTTTTTTTTTTTTTTGAGGCGGAGTCTTGCTCTCTCGCCCAGATTGGAATACAGTGGCATGATTTCGGCTCACTGCAACCTCTGGATCCTGGGGGTTCAAGCAATTCTCCTGCCTCAGCCTCCTGAGTACTTCGAATTATAGGTGCCCACCACCAGGCCCAGCTAATTTTTGTATTTTTAGTAGAGATAGGGTTTCACCATGTTGGACAGGCTGGTCTCAAACTCCTGACCTTGTGATCTGCCCACCTCGGCTCCCAAAGTGCTGGGATTACAGGTGTGGGCCACCATGCCCGGCCGCAATATATCTCTTAACACATCTCTCCGGATTCTGTTTTTCTGGCGGAGCCCTGACTGTTAGTGACCGGATTAATGACTACCCACACACAGGAGATACACACGTTTGGCTTGTTCTCTTAGCTTCGTAGGGCACCTCAAACTTCGGTGAACACAGCCTGCTTCTACTGGGCTCCTCTGGACTTCCACTCCCTTTTCTGTAACTTGTCTTGGGGCTGCCTACTTTAGCCCCACAGTCTACTTCTCCCAATTGAGAATTTCCAATATATGTTAACTAATTTTCCCTGATTACTATTTCTAGGAATGAGGGCAGGCCTTTGTGTTACCCCCACACCAATCATCCAGTCTTTCAGAATCTTTTCTTTGGCCACCATTTGGAGATATAACTTAAGCTTATTCCTTTTTTTTTTTTTTTTTTTTTTGAGACAGTGTTTCGCTCTTGTTACCCAGGCTGGAGTGCAATGGTGCGATCTCAGCTCACCGCAACCTCCGCCTCCCGGGTTCAGGCAATTCTCCTGCCTCAGCCTCCTGAGTAGCTGGGATTACAGGCACGCACCACCATGCCCAGCTAATTTTTTGTAGTTTTTTAGTAGAGACGGGGTTTCACCATGTTGACCAGGATGGTCTCGATCTCTTGACCTCGTGATCCACCCGCCTCGGCCTCCCACAGTGCTGGGATTACAGGCTTGAGCCACTGAGCCCGGCTAAGCTTATTCCTTCTTTGGTTGCTTACAATTTCAGGGTAGTTTAGGACAGGATTTTTGGTAATTTTTTTTCTTGATTCACAGTAAAAGGTCTGTAGAACAATCTTACCCTGCCATCTTAACCCCAAAAATCACACTAATTTATTCATCCGCTTTCCCTGATAAAAGGACTTACTACAGGGAGAAGCAGTACCTTCTTGACTTTATACTCAGGATCTAAGTACAACACCCAGCAAATAGGAACTCTTATTTGTTGGAAGAAACATACACTTTAATTTCTGAAAAGAGATTTTTCATCAAGCCACTATTTAACAGTTCTCCCATATAAGTTAAATCAGCCTTTCTGGAGCATTTACTCTTGAGTGATGCTTAAGTACAAGTATCATACTACTAGGTGAATTTAACAAGCACCTGCAAATAAGACGAGTAGGGCCCCAATCTTCAAGGAATTGAGCTCTAATGTACAGGGCTCACACAGTTTAAAATTATCCATCTTTTGGGGAATGTAAAATAGTGCAGTTGCTGTGAAAAGATTTGGTGGGTGCTCAAAAATTAAACAAAATTAACATATAACTTCCAGTGGCCTGACCATTTGGAGACTGGCAAAAAAAAAAAAAAAAAAAAAAAAAAAAAAAAAAAAAATTATATATAGACACACACACACATCCATCCCAGTAATCCACTCCTAGGTATATATCCAAAAGAACTGAGAGCAGGGAGACAAACACATTTGTATGCCCATGTTCACAGCAGCATTAATCACAACGGTAAAAAAGGTGAAACAACCCAAGTGTCCATCAATAGATGAGTACATATGTGATGCACACATACAATGAAATATTATCAGCCTTAACAAGGAAGGAAATCCTGATGGATGCCACTACAAAAATAAACCCTGAAAACACCATGAAATAAGTGAAATAAGCTAGGCACAACATGACAAGTACTGCAATGAGTCCACTGAAATGAAATATGCAGCATCACTTCAGGTCAAGAGTTCAAGACCAGCCTGGCCAACATGGTAAAACCCCTTCTCTACTGAAAATACAAAAATTAGCCAGGTGTGATGGTGGGCGCCTGTAATCCTAGCTACTCAGGAGGCTGAGGCATGATAATGGCTTGAACTCAGGAGGTTGCAGTGAGCAGAGATCTTGCCACTGCACTCCAGCCTGGGCAAGAGTGAGATTCAAAAAATAAAAATAAAAAAAATGGTTAACATGGCAAATTTTGTAATATATGCATACATACATACTTTTTGAGATGCAGTCTTGCTCTGTTGCCCAGGCTGGAGTGCAGTGGCACAATCTTGGCTCACTGCAACCTTCACTTTCTGGGTTCAAGCAATCCTTCTGCCTCAGTCTCCCATGTAGCTGGGATTACAAGCCTGTACCACCACACATGGCTGATTTTTGCATTTTTAGTAGAGACAGGGTTTCACCATGCTGGTCTCGAACTCCTCAACCCACGTGATCTGCCCACCTCAGTCTCCCAAAGTGCCGAGATTACAGGCGTGAGCCACTGTGCCTGGCTTGTTATATATGTTTTTATCACAATAAAAAATATATTGTAGGCCAGGCGTGGTAGCTCAAGCATGTAACCCCAGCACTTTGGGAGACCAAGGTGCGTGGATCACCTGAAGTCAGGAATTCGAGACCACCTTGGCCAATATGGTGAAACCCCATCTCTCCTAAAAATACAAAAATTAGCCAGGCATGGTGGCGGGTGCCTGTAATCCCAGCTACTCAGGAGGCTGGGGCAAAAGAATCACCTGAACCCACGAAATGGAGGTTGCAGAGAGCCGAGATTGTGCTACTGCACTCCAGCCTGGGCAACAGAGACACTGTCTCAAAAAAAAAAAAAAAAAAAAAAAAAAAGAACATGCCTCCAGGTGTTCTAGGACAGATTATAGCAGAGGGTTTCCACTAAAGCATTTCTAGTTCTCTAAAGTACAAGGAAACAGCCGGGCGCGGTGGCTCAAGCCTGTAATCCCAGCACTTT